CTCGTTCTGGAGGCCGCGCTTGTCGTTCCTGTAGGGCATCATCCTCGAGATGCAGTCTGGCGGGAAGTCCATGATCGTTGCCTCCGCCGCATCGACGTTGAGAGCGAGGATCCTCCAATCCGGGCACTTTTCACAGGGGTCCAGACGGCAGATCCAATAGACAGTGCGGCCGATGACGACCGGATCGAAAAAGCCCCCTAGATACATTTTGGGGCGGTGCGGGGGTCCAGATGGCAACAGGGACGAAACCCATCGGGTTTTGCCTTCCCAAACCCATTCCCATAAGAAAATCGTAAACCCGTCCCCGTCCCCATCACCATGTGCGGGGCTAGTTTTCCGCCCGTCCCCTAAACCCATCGGGTTTCGGGGAACCCACGAGAAAAGAAAAATATTTAAACAAACATAGTGGCGACAAAGAGTAACATTTAAATAGCAAAACAAGCACATTTCAGCAGCATAACTAGAGCAAATTTCAATAAAAAACAATAGTAGATGGTTCAACAGCTATATAAAGTGTATTTTAGCAGATTTAAACAACATACATAATATATTTCGAAGGCAGCAAACATAAGATAAATAGTAGCAACAATGATATCATTTCAGCAGGAACATAGTACATTTCAGCAACAAAACAACTGCAAATTTCAGCACAATACTCGGGAATAACATCAGCTAAAAGAAGTCTATTTCAGCACAACTATAGTCCATTTCAACAACGAAGATAAGCATATTTCAGCAACAAACATGAGCATATTTCAGTAAAAAAAATGTATTTTGCCGGGTTTGTCGGATTTCGGGTTCAGGGACTACCGAAACGGATGCAAATCCATGAAACGTGTCGGGTTGTATAATGTGTCCAACAACAGCCCCGCGGGGATGAAAAGACGCACATCCCCGTTTTCTAATAGGATAAAAACCCGCGGAGACGCGGGTTTCGGGGCTCCGTTGCCATCTTGATGCGGGAGGATGGAGGAGGCCTGGCGGACAATGCCCCATTTGTCTTCCTTGGAAGAGAAGATCTAGAATCGCATTGTATTGTGGGCGACGAGCAGCTCGAAGGAGCCCTCGTGTCGACTCTTAGGAAGGCGCGTTGGTATGCGCTCTTGAGGGTGCCGAGGGGCAGGCCGGTGATGTGGCCGGTTAGGTTGCTGCAGACGACCAGGGCGATGTGGCCATCACCACAAAGAAAAGTGACCCGGTGGAGGAACAAACCGTCTCGAGCGAGCAGAGGCGCGAGGCACCCGTAGTTGATGTT